AAAATTTGACTGAAACAAGTAAAAGGTTTTTGAAATGTTATCCCAAGATTTTTGTCGTTTTTGAGTATCGAAAAGTGTATTTTTTAATATTTCTAGTATGAGTATAATTTCTTTACTTAACAAGGCTTTTATAAAATAAAAAGTTTAATAAAATTAATTAATGATTGTTTCAAATTGCTTAAAGTTTCTCCTTTTAAATAAATAATATATGAATAAAGTTAAAAATAAATTAAAATTAAAAATACCATTTGGCAAGGAACCAAAAAGCTTGAGAATGTTGTTTTACTTTTTCAAGCAAAATGCTAGGAATTTGTATTTATAAATAAATAGATTCATAAAAATAATAAACAAATCAAAGTTCTAAATATTGTAGAATATTAGAATATATAACTACTAAAATTAAAGAATATTCATTCAGTTTAAAATTTTGAAATTTTGTGAAATCTGTGCCCTATATGCATTATGGAAATTTCTACTAAATGTAAAATGTTTTAGGTCAAATTGCTTGAAATTTCTGTTTTATAAACAAAATAATAATTGCATGAAGTTAATAAAGAAAAAAAATTAAATATGCATTAAAATAATATTGAACTTTATAGGTAACTTGATCTTGAAATTTAAAAAATTTGATCCTTTAGTCTTTGGAAATTTGTACTAAATTCAATATTTTCAAGGCAAATTGAAATTAAAATTTATTCATTTCAAAAACAAAATAATAAATATATAAAAAATTATAATAAAAATATACAAAATTATAAACAAAATAAAAATAGCCTGCATAAGAGCAAAATGAAACTAAAATTATAATTCCTTTTAAAATGGAAACTACATAGATCATAAAAAAGTCCTAAATTTTGAAATGTTGAGCCTTTAATTTATAAAAATTTGAAATAAATCTAAAACTTTTTATAAAAAAAGGCATTTAATCAATAATTACACCTTTGAAATTGGACATTCTATAAAATTTTGAGTCATTAGTCATTATAGAATTGTTTCATTCTTAAAATTTATGAAAGTTTGTAAAATTCTTCAAATTGACAGTATTTTCTATATATTTTTAACAAAAATATATCATGTATTTTCAAATTTTATAATTTATTAGTAACGTATTTTTTACCATTCAAAAAAATAATCTATATTTATAAATTATTTATATAATTTTTCAGATAACATTTTAATTATTTTTTTATCTTTAATTACACATTTGGAGCTCTGCAATGGAGTAATGTGCAACTCGATATCAAGCAGTAGTAGCATAGGTTTCCAATTGAAAGTATAGATAGCCATATGTTTCCAAGAAAACAGAAAAGTTTAGAAAAAAAGAGATAAAATTGATTATTGGTGGTGAACAACATAATTAAGAAAAGCAACACTCTAGTGCAGATGAGTGAATTGTGAACAATTTTGAAATTTTTGTCAAAAGTCGACAAATTTGCAAGAGTTTGTTCCTAAGGTTTCTAGTTTCAATTATTTACTAAGAAGATACTAAACAAAAGATTTAGGGAATGGTAATGATTCAAAAGTGAATTCTGTGGTATTTAAGATTTAAAAAGGGGACCATTTGCCAAAAAAAATGTTGAAATTAATGGTACAGTTGTTTACAAAAACTTAAATAAATATTGATGGTGAACACAGTGCTCCAGAACAAGACTTTGAGGAAAATGAGCAAAAAGTGAGTTTTTAAAAAATGACAAGTTTAGTAAATTTCCACAGAAATTGTAATAGTAAATGTAAAGTTATGACAAATAATTTGGTATTAGACAAAATCAATTAAGTCTAAATATCACAACAACTTATAGGATTCTTATAGTTCAAATAATAATAATAATAATGACACATGGATTGTATGAACTTTAAAGCAAATGACATTTTTTTTTATTTTATTAAGTAACTACACTTAAGGGGGTATTCTAGTGTAGAAATTAAAAAAAACCATTTTTTTTATTTAATATTTTCAAAGTTTAACTATCTAAGAATATGATTACGAGAAAGTTTTTGAAAATTTGAATTATTTTCGGAGATATAGGCATTTTACTGACTCGGTCTCCATACTGGTTTGGCTTCACGTAAAACTTTAAATGCGTTTTTCTCAGAACTTACTTTTTCAGTACTCTTGTCACGATTTCTGGAGTTCTTCTCGACCAATTTATTTGAAATTTTCAGAGAGTCTTGCTTATAGATCTATCTACAGTCTGAACTGGAATCATCCTGAAAATCCTATTTTTACTATTTTTAAAAAATTCGAGAAACTCAAAAAAACAGTAAAAAAAACCTTTTTTTTTTCAAACAGTCGCCAATTTGTGAAAAAATTTTTTTTACTCATCGCTAGTTCAGCCGATTGCGACATCATTGTAGATTAATAATCTTTTTATTTTTTGCATTTCCGATGGCTAGGAGGGCTGAAATCATGTCAAGACTGAGGTGCCAATTTTTTGAGACCACGCACTTTATCAGCTGCCAGTTTTTACAATTTTCAACTTTTTTAGTTTTTAATTTTTGTTTTGTATTTTAATAATATTAATAAACAAGTGGTAAAAAAATGGATAGTAAAAACATTCATTGCTTTCTTTTACGACACTTTAAAAATGACCTAAAATTCATCGCTCTACACTAGAATATCTCCTTAATCAACCTTAGACACTAAATAAAAATTAACAGTTCAAGCTAAATTTAAACAAAAATACGACTATCTAATTACCCAACAAACAAAACGGCCCTGCATCAACCAAACCAAACAACTCCAAAAAAAAAAACAAGCAAAACCCGCCGCATCCAACATCTGCCCTACGCCACTCCTTTCGCCACCATCAAGGCCACACCTCCTATCCATCAATCCTCATCCAAACCACGCCCCATTCTATCCTATCCGCCAACCCTCGTCCTTCGATGCACGCACACATCGCCATCGCCACCAACACATGCAGGAGTGACGCCGAAATGTGCAGTGAGATTTTCAAATGCACAAGAGTCCCCTTAGAAAAGCACAGCCGGGCGCCGAGTCGGCTACTAGTGAGCAACGGTCGCGAAAGCCAAATGAACACTTTCGGCGGTACGGGATCGAAAATTTAGAGAAAAAATTTGGACAGGAGAAGAAGACCCTGGTTAATGGACAAGGGTCAAGGGTGAAGGGTGAAGAAATAGTTGATTATAACATTACATACATTGTCGACAAAATTGAAGATTTTTGTTGGGTGAGGTGCTCAAGAAGAAATCTCTAAGTAAAGATTGATGGCAAATGTGGTGCTCCAGAAAAAATCTATGAGCGAAGATTTATGGTGGATGTGGGTGCTCCAGAAAAAATCTCTAAGAGAATATTGATAGTAAATGTGGTGCTCTAGAAGACATTTCTAATCAACAAGAGAAACCGGTGAAAAGTTTCAAGAAATTAACCGATATTCTTTATAGAGTTTCTTACGAAACAGATATTGTTAATAAAAGTGATTATTAGTCAAGAACAAGGTCTCTAATAAGAACACTCTGGTGCAGATGAGTAAATTGTGAACAACTTTGAAATTTTTGGCCAAAAAACGACAAATTTGCAAAAGTTTCTTCCTAAGATTTATAGTTCCAATTATTTACCAAGAAGATACTGAACAAAAGTGAAGATTTAAGGGATGGTGATGATCCAAGAGTGAAGGTTTTTAAAAATTGTTGTAACAAGATTTTAAAAGTGGACAAGTTTCATTGAACAATTGTTTTTTTTTACAAAGACTTAAATAAATATTGATGGTGAACAAAATGCTCCAGTAGACGACTTTGATGAAAATGAGCAAAAAGTGTTAAAAAAATCACAAGTTTTGATGAATTTTATAAAAATGTGTAGACTGGTGTAGACAATTAGTTGAATGCACAAATATCTTCCTGATATATTTTTTTTAAATTAAATTAATTAAATAAAACTTTAAAAATAAAAGAAATAAAACGCATAAGTGGAGATATAAAAAAGTTTGAACATTTTTTTCTTAATTTTGAAAAATTAGACTTACATTAATAAAGTTTTTAAACAAAAGTAAAATTTGACATGATTTATTAAGTTGGTGGTGAAAATATTAAATATATATTTCTAAAGAATAATTAGAAGCTCTAAAGTTTGATAATATTTGAGTGAATGCTCCTTATAATTTAAAAAAAGTGTAAAAACTTTATAGTTAAACACAGATTTCAAAAGTAAAATAAATTTTCTTTCTCTTCTCAAATCGTAAAAAACTAAGTTAAAAAAGCAAGTTAAGTTGCAAAATCGAATTATTATTTGTGATAAAAACAGCCCTAAACATTTATGCAAAAACATCAATTTTTAGCACGAAAAGAACAACATAAATACAACAAAATTCTTATTTATTAAATTAAATAATTAAGTGAATTAAGCTCCTTGTAATTTTAAAAAAGCGTGGATTTCAAAGCTAAAAACAAATTTATTTACTATCTTTTAAAATTCCAACTACTTTTCAAATTATAAAAATCATCAACTCAAGGAAGATATATATTGGTAACATAAAAATAGTGAGTTCAGTTACTAAATAAAGTTTTTAAGAATATACTAAAACACTTTAAATAATAATTTATATAATTTTATAAAATTTGTGATAAGAACAGTCCTAAAAATTGTGCAAAAACTTCCATTTTTGGCAAGAGCAATAATAATAAAAATACGTGAAATAAAAATTTTATTTATTAAATTAAATCATTAATATTGTAAAACAGACATTGGAGCAACTAAATAAATTTCGAGTAAAATTATATAAAAATCGAAGCAGTAAATTATAACTAATTGTGATGATATCTCGTTACCAAAAAACTTGACTATTACCATAAATATTTTTCTAAATCATCTACAATATTATTTTATCCCTCAAAAATGACTTCTTCCGAAATCACCCTATCCCCGTCCGTCACAATGCCCTCACAAAAACCCTTAAACTTTTCCATCGCCCGAATCATGCAACCTGATCCTGTCCCTAAAGAAAAGCAAAGAAAAACTTTAAATTTTCAACCACAAAATCATGGAAAACGAACAAGATGATGAAATGAGGATAGATGTCGACGACTCTGAAGAAAATAGTGCAAAATCTAATGATGTTGAAGACAAAATGGTGACTGAAGGTGGTCAGATGAGTGAAAATGCTGATGATGTGCTGCAGAGGATAGATTCAGCTTTTAAAAAGTAATATAATATAAAAACGACAAATAGCCAAATTTTCATGTCTATAAATGTTCTATTATTATTTCTAGGTATGTTCCACTTCAGCACCATCATCGAACTCTACTGGCCCAACACGCAACTTCAATCCTGGCCCATTACTACAACCCGATACCAAGTCTGATGTGCGCCATCCAGCAATATACCACAAGTACCACAAACCAGCAACAGCAATTTCCAACGGCACCACAATTCGGCCTAAACCACCAACAACAACAGCAACAATTGCTGATGAGCAACAAATCCACTATACAACCAGAAACCTATCATAAAAGTCTGATGGTGAAGAATTTACCGCAGGAAAATTTAAATTTGACGCTGGATGGATCCAAGTTGCCGAGTAAGGAGAAAGGTTTTTCCCCGAGGAAGGGTTTGATGGTTGGTCATGAGGATTTGATGGCGCAGAGGGGTGCAGGAGTTTTCCAGACTGGCGGTTTTGGAAATGGTGCTTCTGCGGAAAGTCCGAGGAAGGTTAGTCCAGGAGACAAGAAGTCTGTGAGTCCTAGTCAGAAAAGTCAGGGTGGAAGTACCGGTGGTAATAATACTGGTAAGTAATTCTACTAATTAGTTTAAATAGTCCATTTAAGGATTTAAACCTCTGCATCATCTAAAAACTACTATGCAAGATAATTATTGAGTATAATTGGGCAAATCTGCCGTAACAAAGCTCATAAAATAGCGTTGTCATGGCAACGCTCTTTTATGCTTGTTCTTGGTATTGAAAATTATAAAAATGTCTTCAAATTTGCCGGGCGATCAAGCGTATTTTACATCTAAACAAATCAAAGGAGAATGTTATAATAACTGCATCATCGAAAATTCTGTTATCAAAGACATTTTCTTAATTTTCAATACCAAGAACAAGCATAAGATAACGTTGCCATGACCATTAATTTCAAAACGGAATGTTACAATTTTGGGTAAAAACTATTGAACTTAATATTTTTTCAGGAAAAACATATTCTTGCCTAGAATGTGGAAAAACCTTCAGTGCACATTATAATTTGACGAGGCACGCCCCTGTGCACACGGGGGCTCGCCCCTTCGTCTGCAAAGTCTGCGGAAAGGGATTCAGACAGGTAAATAACTAGTGGTGTATGGCATCGTGCCTTAAGGCAAATTTCTGGAACTTCCCGTACCGTAATGAAATATTCGAGAAATTTTAAACGTTTTCAAATATATTATGACAAATACTGTAACTTTCATTATTTTTGCTATCATGTTATATCTGAGAAAATCAAATGTAAATCATAAATCAATTTATCTCTAGATAAACTGCCATTTTTTGCACATTTAGCTCTGTATCTTCGAAATGGCTGGAACTGCCTTTGCCAAAAACTAATCACCTCTTCTCCCAATCATTACAAATTGAATGTTTTTTAGATCATTCAAATCGGACGCATAGTTCTCTCAAAAACTCGATTTCTAATTTCTGCACTCTTTGCTCCGTATCTCCGTAACGGCTGGACTTGCCTTTGCCAAAAACTGATCAGCTCTTCTCCCAATCATCAAATTCTCCCAAAGTACAAAACACACGCACACACACACACACATCCATTTTTTCTGAGGTTTGCCAAAATGTTCAGAAACCTTCAAAACGTCGAGAAATGCAAAAATTTTCATTTATATTACCTAATATTTATGATTTTTTAGGCTTCAACATTGTGCAGACATAAAATCATCCACACATCCGAGAAGCCTCACGTTTGCAACGTTTGTGGAAAGGCGTTCAATAGGTAATAAATAATAAAAATAATATTGTTAATTGTAATTTTGAATATTAATTAATATGTTTATTATTAGGTCCTCGACATTGAACACGCATTCGAGAATCCACGCCGGTTACAAACCATTCACGTGCGAACATTGTGGAAAATCGTTCCACCAGAAAGGAAATTATAAAAATCACAGGTAAATATAAATTTATTTATTATTAACTAGATGACCCGACAAACGTTGTCCTGTACCCATGTCTACAATATTTTAATATAATATGCTAATATTTATCGTTTACCTAAAAATAATAATTATGGTTTTTTAAATTAATCTACACGCCAAAATGCATATACATTTATAATATGAGCGATGTTAAATCTTAGAACTGCTTTAAATAAAATGATGAGTCTCAATTCCCACACTATATTAGAAATTTCATGTTGGATTAAATTAATTTAACTTTTTACTATAAGATATCCAAAATTGCATCTCAACCTTCTCCTAATCGATATCGTGAGGGCCGAATTGTATGTATTCATCTTTACTTTTCCCATTTGTTATTCTAAAGTAAAATTTTTATGAATTGTGTAAGATGCAAAGAAATTAAACATTAAAAAATAAACTATATTGAAAATTTAATATCCGAACCTTGTGTTGGCGCCCCCTAAGGCGTGCGCTCGTATTTTTCGCATGCATCGCATTAAAGGTAGGACCGGCCCTGATTAATACTTAATTTCATATTTTAAGTGAATTAATTTGCCATATCCTGTACATATGTGTATCATTCAATCTGCCATACATATACTGTATCTTATATTATTTTAATTTCTGGCACATCTTAGTTGCTTTTTGGCAATAATTTCATTTTTCTTATTCATAATCATAAATTTATTGTACATATTCTAATATTGTCTAGGTTCATAAGTAAATTTAAATTTTTGGCAGATGATAGTTTTAATTTATTTTCAATGCAAACAATGACATGTCGTTTTTTACATTTTTTTCCATTTATTTCTACAATATTGCACATACGTTCCAGTACTTTATAATCACATACATCCTAGAAAATTTCCTTAACAAACTTCAGAAAGATTTATCAAAATCCGAATAATCGTTTAGAAGGAGTATCCAGTGATTGCTTGTAATTTAATATGAACTTTATATAATAGCAATAAAGCTCAAATTGATTCTACGTTTTAGTTAGAAAACGTTTGTATGTGAAAAAGAAAAGGGCTGTTTTTAGGGTTTTCCCGGCAATTATTCGATTTTTTCTCGCTGTAAGAACCATCCTTGGACTTCAACGAACATTTAAAAAAAAAAAGAATGACCAAATTGGTCGAGGCGTTGTTGAGTTAAGCGCTTACCAACACATTTTGCGATTCATTTTTATATATATTAAGATTATTTATTTCAATTAACCATTATTTCTTTTACCCAGGTTGACCCACAACGGTGAAAAGGCCTACAAATGCACAATATGCGGCAAAGCCTTCCACCAGGTCTACAACCTGACCTTCCACATGCACACACACAACGACAGCAAACCCTTCACCTGCAGGGTCTGCGGAAAGGGCTTCTGCAGAAATTTCGACCTGAAGAAACACACCAGGAAACTGCACGAGTCGGGGGCGCAGACGCAGCAACAACCGGGCGCTCCGGTGGATAACAGTAATAAGAATTTAGGGATGGCTAATTATCAATCCGGGGGCAGTTTGGTGGGACTGTCGCCCGTTGGGGGGCATCATCCAGCGTCGTTTTTGTACAGGAATAATTTGGCTGGTTATGGGGGCTATCATCATGTGCAGTCTTAGCAACTTAGGAGATAAATGGAGGATTTAGTTTATTGAGTTGTGTGAGGTTATTAAGTACTTTTTGTATTGGAAATATTTTTATAAATGTTTTTAACTGGTGTGTCCCAGAACTCAACATCAGGGTAATAAGTATTGAGTGTAATATTTACTTCCACGAAAAGTACAACTTCCGATACTATTTTTAAGAATGTTTATCCAAAAATTTTAAATTTAATCATTTTTGTGTACATATTTAAAAAAAAATTTAACATTCCTAAATTCCTAGTTACAAAATTACAAAATAATTCTATAATATTACTTACAAATGCCAGGGTATTAATAAATTAATTTAATGTAAATATAGTTATAAGTTATTACCATTAAGCCCAGTGATATAGAATCTATTTAAACAATTATTAATGTTATTGTTAATATGTCTATTTGTTTATTTACTATTACTATTATATTTAAGTATATGTATAAATAGTACTCGCTCATCTTGCAATATAAATATATATAGAAATCAATTTTATGTAGTTCAATGTTTCCTAAATTGGGATTTGTAAATATAATTACAATATTTATGCTTTTGTTTTATTAAAAATAGATATAGAAATAATGTATAAATATCTGAAATGAAAATTTGAAATGAATTCACAATAGAGAATAGAAATAGAAAATAAACTAGTGGGGCGCATGGCATCGTGCCTTAAGGCAAATTGCTGGAACTTCCCGTACCAAAAATTATTTTTTTTTTAAAAGATTAACATTTTTGAAAAAAAAATTACTCTGTAAAAATTAGATTTTTGAAAAACTATAAATTTTTGACAAAAATTTACTTTTTTTGAAAAAAAAAGACTTTGAAGAAAAATTTATTTTGAAATATTTGGAAATTCTGAACTTTTTTTCAAAGTAATCGTACTGCTTTAACTGCATAGAGACGAAATATCGAAGCGCGTAAGCGCCGCGTCGCCGTCTAACGGATAAACATTGGTACGAAACCCATTGGAATGTAAACAAAATTTATACTTATTGATAAAATCTCTATAAAATATCTGATAATTTGTCATATGTGCATATGTCTAATGATCATTTTTGTCCGCCAGATGGCATTATTTTTACTTTTTTTTTTCATGAAAGTTTGATCAGTTTTTCATCTGGTTAATACAAGTAAAATGTTTTTTGAATTATTCAAATCGGACGCTCCGTTCTCTTAAAAACTGAGTTACCTTTTCTGTCGCTTTTTATCCCATATCTTCGGAACTGCTGGACCTGCCTTTGCCAAAAACTAATAAGCACGTCTCCTTATCAATTCGAATCGAATGTTTTTTGAATTATTCAAATCGCTTCATCCGTGTTTCCGAAATCGTCGACGAAAGTTTGTAGCCGCACACACACATATACACACACATACATCCATTTGTTCTAAAATATGCCAAAATGTTCAGAAGGTTTTGAAACGTAAAGATATATAAAAATTTTCATTTTCGTTTTTTTTGCGATTACTATAACTTGCCCTACGGGAAGTTAGTAAACAAACAACAATTTATGCTGATATTATATGTGTAAACATCTTATTAAATATAATATAATAGTTTAAAATAGGTGTTTTTCTTATTTCCCGGGGAAAAATTCGAAAAAGATTCATTTTTAGTATATGGCAGTACTGAATTTTTTATATTATTACTTTGGTAGCATGTTAGGCAAATGTCAAAGACAGAGCTGAAAATGGCCGAAGACTCCATTAATTCAAAATCACATGCATTTGTACATAAATTAAATTATGTAGAATATAAATAAACTGAATGTATTTGCGTC